GTAATCTATCTTCCCTCCACAAAAGCTCCTTGATTTGGTACAATAATAGTAGGTAGGACTTTCCTAATCCTACGAGCTAACACTTCTGCTGTGATCTTATACAAACTATTCACCAAGCTAGTTGGTCTGAAATCTCTTGGGTGGACAGCATTTGTCTTCTTAGGGATCAAAACCGCAAAGGTGGAGTTCAAGCCTGGATTAATTATTCCCCTTGTATAATATTCATCAAAGACCACATAATGTCCTCTTCCAATAAATCCCAACAATCTTGATAAAAAGCCATTGTGAAAATCTGGCCCAAAGCTTGTGATCGGTCCATAGAAAAAACTACCTCTTTAATTTCTTCCAAATTCCAACTTTCTTTCTAACCACTCCCTAGCCTCATATTCTAACCTTGGCCACTCCAAACCTTCAATCCACACTCTCACTCAATGCTAAAAATTGATCTGAAGTGGTTTGCAAAGGACCCAACAATCTCATTCTATTGTGTATTAGGCTTTTTTTTTGATAATTATTTTGTTGTGTAATAGTAGAGCCCTCCACTTCTACCTTAAAAACAAAGTTTGTCCTTCTCCCATTTGCTAGATCATGGAAACATTTTGTATTCCTATCGCCCTCTCCTCAATTTGGTCAACAAGATTAATCTTTTTTTTTAACAGTAAATATGTATTTTATTAAAATTCAGATTGTAAGCAATTTATACAACTTGATGATGGGACTGTTGATCCCCTTTAATCACTCTATTCACCACTCATTACAGTGTAGCCCAAAATAATTGTTGTCTCAATGCCCCTTGTTTTGCTAATCCATCAGCTAGCCCATTTGCACTTCTTCGGACCCATTTAAATTCAGCCTCAACCTCCTTTGCAATCTTCTACTCTTCCCTAATCACATGTTTAAACGTCCATGGGGTGTGGCTGCTATTTGTTGCCCATGAAATTACTACTTTTGAGTCCCCTTCCACTTCAACATGTCTGTATCCTAGTCGTTTGGCTAGCTTTAACCCTTGTAGTAATGCCAATAGTTCAGCCTTCAGCGAGTTTCCGTTGCCAATTGGTCCTGAAAACATACCCAATATCCTCTTGTCAGTGTTTCTTAATACTCCTCCTACTCTTGAGATGCATGGATTCCCATATGAGCACCCATCAAAATTCAGCTTTACTTTATTGCCTTCAGGTGGTTTCCACTCCAGCCTTACTTTATCTCTTACTCTCGAAGATTGTGCTACTTCGGACCATGTTCTTAGAATATCTACAACTGAAAAGACTTGAAAGTAGTCCAAGGGTTTTACCCAATGGGCTACTTTCACCTTGATACTATCAATCACTTCCTCTATTGTTCTACTTTTCTCCAAGAAGATTTGGTTGTTCCTCTCTTCCCATGTTATCCAGCAAATTGTTGTCTTTGTTGCTTTCCACATTACCATCCCTCTTTTCTTTCTCTGTCTCAAGAAATCATGGTTGAAGAGTCCTACCACATCTTAAGGGAGAACCCGCCTGCAACCAAAGAAAGTACAAAAAGAATTCCCAAATTCAATGCACAAAAGAACAGGATATCATTAAATGAGAAAGGGTCGCACCACTTTCCTTACACAATGAACACACATGAGAAAGGCAAATATACGGCCTTCTTTTCTGCGGCATATCATAAGTGTTTACCTTACCAAGAAAGATGTGTGTTCACTGTGTAAACACTTATATCCCAACATGGATATAACTCTCTTAATAAAACCAGAGTGACATAACAACATGTTTTTAAACCGAAAAGGAGATGGTCCAGCATTTCTTAGCTCATCCTTACTAACCACTATTGCCAATGGTCTGAAGTTACCCTTGGGAGTGCTCTAGACCTCAACCCTCTCCAATGCTCTTCCCAATCTAGTGAGAAAAGGAATCTATCCAATTTAGAGCATATTGGGTTAGCTTGGAAATTGGAACCAGTGAAATTGTTATGTAAAAGTGGAATTTCCTTAAGCTCAAAGTGTCCACAAACCTGAAAATCAAAAGGTGTTTTTAATACTACAGATTTGAATACCCAGAACCTCATCTAACTTACTCCCCAAGTCCTCCTTGTCTAGCTACCTAAACTCTGGGAGAACCAAGACCCAGTCTGCCACAGATCTGCTAACAGCAACTATCAACCTATCCACACTGCAAGCTCTGTCCTCGAAAATTCTTCTGTTCCTCTCCTTCTAAATGTTCCAGACTATAGCAAAAAGTATGCAGCTTCACCTTCTTGCATCCACCCAGTTTAGGCCACAAAGAAAAGATTTTTGTACCTAAAGTAGGTAGACCTTTGACTTTAGAATTAAAATTCCATAAAAACTCCCTCCGAACCCTCTCTATCTCGTCAACCACCACAGCTGGAATCTTTTTTTTTAGATAAATGAGAGTAGTTTTATTAATTCAAAAAACAACAATACATTCAACCTAGGAGGAGGCACAAGGTGTTACCTCCCCCTAGGACTAAGTCATAAACACTAAACATACACAAGCCTGAAACACAGTTACAAAGTGGCCCAAAACATATCTCCTCTTGACACCCCTTGCTTGGCCAGAGAATCAGCCATTGCATTTGCTGATCTGCTGACCCACTGAAACCTGACTGACATATTTCTTGTTAGCCATTTAACTTTCTTTAACAAATCCCTGTAGCCCCAACAAGCTGTCTCTGGACTTGTCACCCAGCCCACTTCTACCTTGGAATCCCCTTCTACTATCAAATTATTCACTCCAAGTTGACTGGCCATCTGTATACCTTGTACCGTTGCTAGTATCTCTGCCCTTACAGAATCACCAACACCCACTGGTCCTGAAAATAAAGAGAACATGTTGCTATCTTTGTCTCTCAGAATCCCTCCTATTTCAGATGGCCCTGAGTTACCTTGGCAGCTACCATCAAAATTCAATTTTACCACTCCATCCGGTGAGGATTCCCATTCAGCTTGTGATTTGTTTTTTGTTGAGAATATAGAAGCCACTGCTGCCCAATTTCTCCTTAAGTCATCAAAGGAGTAATCTGCCAACAAGTGTGAAGATTTCAGCCACAAGACTGTCCTTGTCATTATGCATTCCTTGATTTCAGCAAGACTTCTTTCCTTTTCTTTAAATATTCTAGCATTTCTCTCTTCCCATAATGTCCACAAGGTAACGGCTCTGATACATTTCCACATTAGCTTCCTTCTTTTTGTCAATTTCCCAAAGGCAACCAGAATGAATAGCAGCTTTACTTCGAAGGGCAAGTTTCACCTACACCCAAATAGTGAAACAACCCAGTTCCAAAAATTGGCAGCAAAAGAGCACGATATCAGTAAATGGTTACATTCCTCACCCTTCACTTTACACAAGAAGCACCAATTTGGGGACAAACACAAGTAAGGTTTCTTCTTTTGCAAGTTTTGATCTTACCCAAGTAGGCTTCCCAACAGAAAACTACTATTTTAGGAGGAATTGGCCTTGACCAGACCTCTTTAACAGGGAAAACCAGAGAAGAGGGGTTGGAGCAGAACCACCACAGCTGGAATCTTGAGAACGGAAAGATATTAAACAAGGTGAATTGGACAGCACACTTTTTTTTATAGAAAAAAGTGAGGGGCTACACGAGACAGGGGGTAGCCCTTCCCCAGGAATCAAAAAAAGCATATATGTTTGAGATCTTTTGGGACTGAACCTAAACTAGAAGGACGATAGGAAGGGGCATTGCGCACTGGCCAATCAGCCACCTGGTTTGCCTCGCAATAGGTATGCCGGAAGGTGATGCTTGAACTGAACGCGGTCTTGAAGCAGAGGGACTCACTGATGATGCTTTCCAATCTCCACAATGGCTTTACTCATAGCACACTTTTAATAAGCATGACCCTTCCTCCCAATGATAAATACCTCCCCTTCGACCCTGCTAGCTTTTGATCAATGAATCCTATCTATCACCGGCTGCCATGTTGAAAGCACAGAAGCTTTTACACCAATAGGTAGTTCCAAATGGGTAAAAGGGAATTCCCCCACCAAATGCTGATGGCTTTTGCACACTCTTCCAGCACAGAATTTGACATTGAGTCCACACCAATCTTCTTCAAGTTAATTTCCAAACCCGCCAGCAACTCAAAGCCTTTTAGAATTGCTCTTAAATTCACCAACTGTTCCATCCACAAAGACTAGTGTCATCAGCATATTGCAAGTGCAATATTTTCAACCCCCCTGCCCAACCTTAAATCCAGAAAAAGGGCCACCATTGATACCTTTCTCAAATAGAAAGCCCTACACTACACTTTGACCACTAGCACAAATAACATTGGTGAAAAGGGCCTCCTTGTCTTAATCCCTTGGAAGCTAGGGAAAAAATCTGTAGAAACCCTGTTAACCAACACCAAAAAAGAAAGTGATGACTATTATTTCGAAATTACTATTTATGAAAACTTTTTTGACTCACCAATTATAGTAATGCCCACTATTTCTGGTGTCTTTACAATTAGCTTTAGTAGGACTAGTAATTTAGTATAATAAAGTTTATTAGAGTAGTTTAGGAGTAAGAATCCTTATCTAACTATACTCATGGGTTACCTATGGATTTATATTAGTTTTAAAGCAATTAGAATTTGTTTTGGGTTAGTCTTGTAGTCTAAATTGGGCTTTGTGAAAGAGCGTCCAAATTCTCATGGAGAGAATATAAATAGAGTCATTGTGATTTCAATTTTGCAAGGATTGATTTTTTTGATTGGTAGGAAGGGGAAATGATTTCATGAAATAAAGTTTGGTGGTAAATTTCAGTTGTTGCCTGGACTTTTTATCTTTTCTTCTTCTTTCTCGCCTATTTCTTCTTCTCTGTGATTTATCTCCTAGTCGTTTACCCTAACAGCATGAGTTCTTCTCTTTCTTCTTAATCTCTTCCTTATTCTTTGGTAGACAGCAAGCTACCTATTTGGTTCTTCATCCTTAATCTCTTGCACACACCCATGTACATTTAAGTATCAACAAGTAGATAGATAAATTGAGAGAGAAACACTATAAAAATCATCAAATTGAACTGCTTCTACAACAGCTATAATAGTATCCTAACAGTGAATAGTGGTGAAGGTCTATCAATATTATCCCAAACAATGAATTGAAAGAGAAAAGGATTATTTTTTAAATGATCAATTGGGAAAAATACAAACCAATAAAAAATGGAACAAGAATACAATAAATGGAAATGGATGCAAATAGGTTGACTTTAAATGGGCAAAATGGGAAATGGCACCCTCATTTCAACTGTCTGGAATCCACATCTTCCTTTTCAGTGATATTGCTTTCTGTGTTGGTCTGCATTTCAAGTAACTTTCGTTGTTCCTCTTCACTCCCTTCTGTTTTTGTTTCTGCAACAGCCTTAGGCTCGGTGCTTGTAGACTGCTGGTACATAATTCCACCAAACATACAAATTAATAGCCCCACTGTCCCCACCAGTGTAGAATGTTTGTCCCAGATTACTAGATTGATCACAACTGTTAAGAGTTTGTTCACTATGCCCAACACAGTGAATCCAGTTGCAGAAATTGCCCTTCGGCAAGAGAACCCAAAAAAGGAGATGGACAAACCAAATAAGCAGGACAAGGCCACAGGAAAAATGACCCCAAAAGAGTACCAATCTGACTCATCCGAAATCTCATGCTTTATCTTCTTCAACTCCCCCATTATAAGTAGCTCCAACGGGAACAGAAGGAGGGCCTCAAAATTGTTGTAGAGAACAAGACCCCATGTATTGAGGCCAATTGTCATCACCACATGCTTTATGTACACAAAGTCGATAGACATACTAACCAGGTAAGCCAAGGCCCAGCTATAGGCAGTCAGGGTAAACTGGTAATCAGTTATGACATAAAGCACACTTCCTCCAAAAATGGTAGCTAATGACATCCACGTCTTGGTTGAAGGCCAGGGTTGGTGCAAGTAAAGCGTTTCTCCAATTGCAACAAAAATGGGGACTGCAGACCGGAAAACAATGAAAGTATCAACATTGGCATGGAGAAGGAGCTCACTGTTTGTAAAGAGGGAGAGGTAGAATATCACTGCTGCAGGTAGAAAGCGCCACATAGTCCTTAAGTCAAGTGGGTCGTGCTCTACAACTTTGAGCTTCCCACAAAGGAAGACCCCAGCAGCGCTGGTGAAGTACTGCAAGGCAGTCAGTGCCCCGGGGTAAGGGAATTTCATGACAGCCCACTTGTTGATGATAGATAGAAGAGATGCTGAAATGCAGTATCCGGCAGCGATGCCATACACTGAAGCATGTTGGAGAAAGCTACTGTACCAGGTTGCTTCAATTTCGCTCGAGGAGGAAGAAGTAGCATCTGGGTTTTTTTCCTCCTCGCAACTTCTGGTATTCTCCTCGTCATTAGACATCTGGAAAAGAGCAAAAACGCCCATTTAATTGGTACAAAACATGGATCTGTTTACAATCAATTAACCCAATCTGCTAATCTTTTAACAGATTGGACTAATTTAAAGTTTAAGTTACCCTGTTTTATGGTAATTTCTACATCTTTCCTATAAAATCAGAAAATGTAGCAATTGCAGGAAAACCTATTTCTCAAAACACTGATGGTAATTTGTTTCTCCCGAGGAATAAGGATTTATCGAGCTCATTCCATAGATCGACCAGATATTTTTACAAAGAACCAAGATCAAAAGAAATTAGTAGCTAAAGATCGAAGCAGTTGCTTACCTCTGTCAGTCGACGACCGAGGGGCAGTGGTCGGCAAAACTACCTGGAACTCTCGAAGGCGGGACTTTGTAATGTAAAACCCAATTCCTAACGATGGTCAATAAAGAGAATCCAATTAGACTTCAATCAGATGTGTTATAATTTATAAACAAGATCTCTTCCATTTTTTTCAGTGTCATAAGGGTAAAGTGGTGAACCAGTCGAGCTACCCCACGCCAGTGCTAGTTACACCAGTTCAGGCCCGAGCCCGGCCAGAAATTAGAAAATTATTCCATAAAAAATATTTTATTTATATTAAAATCTCTCAAAACCTAAAAATAATAAAAGATCTTACTATTATACTTAAAAAAAGAGAAGAGGAACAAAGAAAAAAATATTGTACATATATTTTTTATTAAATGAAATATATTTTTATTATATAAATATAAATTATCAAGTTGGACTTGAACTCACGTCAGGCTTTTTTGAAAAAGCTCGAGCTTGGTTCAAAAAAAGTCGGGCCTAGTGTTTTAAGCCCAAACTCGAGCCCGCAAGCCTAAAATCATGTCCAAATCCAACTTAGAATTGGTCGAAGTAGAACCAGAAATTGACCCAACAAGAAATACTAAGGATCCGAAACTAAACCAGACCCGTTATGATCTATAATTTTAGACCCAAAACAGAATTAATCAATTCTCAAGACAATCGGGTTTGACTTGATGAAGCCGATTATATATATAATTAGATCAGGTCTAAGTCGATTTAGGACTAGGTAAAACCAGTTCCAAACTAGTAATAATTGGGACAATATATCAAGAATCATAACCAACCTATTGGTTCTAATTCTTGGAACCGACCCAATCAGTTTAGGTCTCGTCAAAGTCAGGTCAACCCTAACCCATTGACATCCCTCAACCTCCCAACCTCTATCCACCCCAAAACCCGTAGTAAGTTTTTTTGTATAAGCAAAGGATCCATTGGAAACAACAAAAATTAAGGATATAAAATAAGACCCCTCATATAGAGATATGAGTTATTCCTTGAAGGGTGGGGTCTAGGGATCAAAATATGAGTTCTATTTACATTGGCCCTTTTAGCTATGTCATGAGCAGGGTCCACATCATTCTTGTTTACATACATTATATTTAGTTCCGCAGAAAAAGAAAACAGATACTTGATGTGCTCGAGCAGTGCCTGTTCATTCCACCTTGTGTTTCCCGTGGTTCCTTTGAGCTTTAGCAAAATCTCCTTTGCATCTGACAAGATGGTAGCTTGACTGACACCTAGCAAAATGAGTCTTCTCAGGCCTCTAATGATTGCCTAAAGCTCAGCTTCTGAGGCGTTAAAGGCCTTGCACTATTGTCCTTCTACAATGCAAACATTGTGTGTGTAAGATAATAAATACAAAACCGTAGAGGCTGAGCTAGTAGTTGTGTTCCAAGATCCCTCAACTATAACTACTGAGTGGGGAGTTTAGGGATAGCTGATGGGTGGGAAGGGAAGTGTGATCATTTTGGTGGTGAGTCTGAAACCAATTTAGAGCTCTTGTATTTAGGACATAAGTGTTTGCTTTTCTCATGACTTCAAGGGGGTCTGAGGACTTTCCTTCGAAGAGCACATCATTCCTATGATCCCATAGTGCTCTCAATGGCTAGCAGTCTAGCCATGTAGAAATTTTGGAGATCTTTTTTCTCAGGATTCCTTTCTAGTCACCAGGTTAGGAAGTTTGGTGATCCTAATGCAATGAAGGCTTCTGGATTGAAGCCAATTTGAGCCATTAGTGGCACTACTCTTGCTAGAGAACATTCAAAGAAGAGGTGCACCTAAGTTTCTGGAGCATTTCCACATAAAACGCAAGAGATGTCCCCTGAGTGCCGCAGGAACCAAGTTGGCTGCTTCGTTCTGACCCCATTCATCAATACTTTCCAACCAAAGAGTTGACATCAGAGAGGAGCTTTTGTGGCCCACAGCCTAGACCACTTGATTTGTTCACTGGAAGGGCCCACTTTTTCAATTCTTGAGAGGCTCCTATGGGCCGAGTGGACTGAATAGTTGCCATCCTTTGAATTCTTCCACAACAATTTATCCCCTTGGTGTCAAGGGTTCAAGGGTATACTTAAGATAGCATCAGTTGAGGAGTCTTCAAAAAGTTGGTGTAAGAGCTAGGAGTTCCATTCTCTAAGAGATGTGATGAAGTCTTTTATCATCCAATGTCGCACAATAGAGATTTGGAACTCATCGGATGTGAGGTTTATTGGTGGGGACCCAGAGAATCTAGGGATCTGTTAGGGAGTTTAGTTTTGCTCCATCTCCTATTTTCCAATATAGGTGAGGGGTTAGGAGGTCCCTAACACTTAGGATGTTTCTCCACCAATAGGAGTGGGACCTTTTTGCTTTGACCTCGAAGATAGTCTTGACATCATCACTCGTAAAGAGTCTCTAGAATTGTTTGGCAAAGAGTGCCTTGTTCATTGGTTCCGCCTGTCTGAGCCCCAAACCTCCTGCTAATTTTAGTTTGCAAATTCTGCTCCAAGAGATGTTATGCCCACCATGCTGATTTTTTCCCCTTGCCACCAAAAATTTCTTTGGAGTTGGTCTAATTTCTTTAGGATCTTCTGTAGAAATAGGATGCAAGCATCTGGTAGACTAGAATATTCTGGGCTACTTCTTTTAACATAGTAGTTCTGCACGCTTGCAAAAGAACTTTTGCTTTCCAAGAGTCCAACTGATTTTCAACCTTCGAGAGAGTTTCCTCAAATGGCTTAGTCTTGCTTTTTTGCTTCATCCACCTAGGCACCAAGGTATTTGATGTTGGGCTGCATTAGAATCCAAACCCTCCTTACACATGAAATGCAAAAGCTTCCCCAACCCTACCCTCCCTACATTTAAGGGTAGGGTGGGTTGAGTTTAGAACTCATATCTAATTTCTTGTTATATATAAGCAATAAATAAGTAAAATAATATGAACAAACATCAAAATTTTCAATTATTTGATTTAGACATGTAAAAAAACATAAACTACCAATTTTCTTCCACATAAAATTCAAAATTTAAATTCAACACCTAATTCATAAAGTTCATATGCTTTTTCTAACAATATGCAGGTTGGGTAAGGTTGGGTTTAGCCTAATATCATACCTTACCTGACATACCTGTACCTATACAAGTTGTTGAATCCCAAACCCCATCCTTGCCCCAAAATCTGTCCTTCAAGCAACAAAACCTTCTCCAATGGGGAAGGTACCCACTAGGTAGGGTAGAAATGGTTGGGTCAGGCCCTAGCTCAAAGCCTAATTTGAACAGAAATTTATAATATATTAATTCTATATTATTAATAATATATTATATAATACTTTCTTGCTACTAATAATACTATTACATATTATTATATAATTAATAAAATTATTTTTTTATTATATACATAATATTATTCGGTAAAGCTCAGAGGGGCCCAATGTTTATTTAGAGCTCAAGCCCATTGGCCAAAAAATTTGTCCAAGCCCGATGTCGAATACGTCGAGCCAAGCCAGCCTGTCAAGATACTTGGCCCATGAATAGGTCTATTGCTAGGATTTTCAATGGATTGGGCCTACCCAACAGATTGAACCGATTAGGTCAGTTCTAGTTCCAATCCAATTATTATTGAGTAGGTTTTGGCTCTTGGTCTTGTGTCCTAGTTATTGTCGATTTGAGACTGGTTTTGGTGGTCCCAAACTCATACAAACCAAAATGGACTAAAGTATAATATATTATATAATAGATTTTTTGTAATATTAGATATAGTTATATATGTCTAAAGATATAAATATAATGGCATGATCTATTGATCATTGGTATTTGAAATACTAAAGGCCTAGAACCTAAAGCTTAGGCCCAAAGCCAATTTTCTGAGAATTAAACCAGGCATAGAACTAGAAAAGGGAGAGGTTCAAGCTTAGAGATTCAAACATATAATCAAATCAGAGTTCGAACCAAAGGTGTTAAGATTGATTTCAAAATTTCTCATTTGTCTTAAAAAAGGCTGCTTTCAATTTTTATAAGTAAAATATTGAAAACAAGGAAAAAGCACTTTCTTTTTCTCTCAAACTCAAAGCCTTAAGTCCTATTATCTCTCACTTCCTCCCTCCTTGTCTATAACCCCTTATCTGAATGAGACAATTATAAGATTTATTTGCCCACCACCAATGCAGAGATCATCATTGTTTTCTTTGCTATTATCTCATTTTTAGTTTTCCACTACTATGGCCATTAAAGTTTTATACTAATTTTAGGTATATAATCTATACTATAAAAGTGAATGTAGTGAAAATTTTTCTAGACTAAAATTACCCTCTATTTCTTTGTTTAAGAAAGGGTATAAAAGTCATTTTATTATAGCTTTAATGTCAGTTTTAGTGGCTACTAAAATGATCATATTTGTGTACTTAATCCATTTCTAATTGCAACAATTGAAAATGTAACTTCAATTATTATTTTTCACCTCATTTAATCCCCTCTCATTAAGTCTTATACTTAAGGTGTCAAATCCTTTTTTCTCTTATTAAATCTATATTTTAAGTTAGTTTTCGCTAATAAATGCTACTAATTAAATCTCTGTCAATATTTTTAACAATATAAACCCATATATTTTGAAACTAACCCAAAAACAAAACCATCTTTATCCAAGTGTTAGCTAAGCAATTCAACCATCCGAATCAAATTGATCAACCTATGAAGTCATAATTAGGTAATAAAATTTTTAAAATAAAAATAAATATAGAAAATTACAAAAAAAATGTAGAAAAAATATACATTTATGATATTTTTATTAATCAAATTAAGAAAATAAGTGTAATAAGAAAGAATTATTTTATTGATAATGAAAATGAAATACATAATTTAGAAGTAACAAAAAATGAACTATAAAAATTAATAATAAGTAGTTCAACTTTTGGGTTAAATGTGTTAACCTTTTAATGTCATAAATAAATAATAAAAATTAATAAAATATAAAAAATACATAAATTTTGCAAAAAAAGGCATTTAGGCACATATATATTATAATATAGTTAGCATATTAAAGAAAAGTAAGTGCGACATATCATACTTATTTTTAGACACAAAATACAAAAAAAATATAGAAAAAATTGAACAAATCTATAATTCTGACTAAAATCAAGGTTTTAAAAGCTGACCCTGAAACAAAACCGCATTTTGACTGTTAGATTAGAATTAGGTTAAA